ACATAATTCCCAAAACAACCCACAACCACCCCCCCCAAACAAAAAACATCTTTCCTTTGCCGCCCCCCAACCAGCCTCTTCAGTTATATTTCGCCACAAACACCTCATTGATAGGCAGCTCCCCCGGACGGGTCTCATCAAGATATCTGTCCAGCATCACTTCGTTGGCTGGCCGACGGCGGTTGTCACCGTTTGTAAGTGTATGCGGCCTGGGGTCGAAGGCGAGGACAATATGAGTTGATCTAGATCATCTTGGCACTCGGACTCATTGAATCGTAGTACGAACCTCACTGCGGAGTCACTCTGCGGGCCAAGAGTTGGGGTCGTGTAACTCGCTGCCCTGGCAGAGCTGCTACCCGTCTCGACGGCAAGGGACGAGATGGACTGGGGGAACATTTTGGGATGGTAAAACAGCAATTGCGGACGAAACAATCAAATCGCCAAGGGATGTGTCTCTTCACACTGGGGCGAATATCTTGTTGGAAAAGGAGAGCTCCAACACTTGGCTTCGGCAGCCGGGCAGCCCGGCAATTTATACCGTCAAGTTGAATCACCAGCTTTGTACTCGGAGGAGGGGTCACGTCCTCGTTGGATGGACAAGACGCGAGCAGTCCTCCATCATGACTACAGCTACAAATTGTCCATGCAGCGGACTCTAGAGACGAAGGATTAGGCAAAAAGAACGCGCAAACTACCAAGCAGTTTGCAATTTTCCTTTTTTCTGCCCCTCCTCCCGCCCCTCGGGCATTCCCACCTGTTGCCATTGTCAAATCGGGGGGGGGGTGCATATAGTTACGCCGGCCCAGGTCCGGGCATTGACCATGCATCTCTCAGACTAGAGGCAAAAAGGGGCCCGCGAACACCGTGGCATGCTCGCCGTCACATCCCGCCGGCACGCAGGCAGAAGACGGCCGACTTCGGGTACCTGACTTGGGCTGGGCAGGAGAGAAGGACGACGGGGCCAATCGGTGTTGCGTCGCCAGCAATCACACGGAGGTCGGTCCAGGACCTGATGCTCTGCTACTGCACGCTGTGCCACCCACATGATGCGTCCTTGCTGTCTCCGCATGCAAAAGACAGCCTCACTTCCTGGCGTATGTTGCGCCGAGAGCAGAGGACCGTCCGTTGGACCAAGGACCTGTGCGTGATTCCCTCACAACAGGCTCAAGGACATCCAATCGAGCCGGCCAGGTGGCTTATGCGGGAACGGCGGCGGAATATGAGATCTGACCTCCTTTTCCTGCAAGCGTCTCCTCGTACATGGCCAGCTGCAGTCACGCTGTGGCCTGCAGGTGGCGAACTCTTGCCCTACCAAGAGCTTGGTCATGCCTACGCAATCCGATGGCCAAGGGGGACAGCAGGATAGCCGTGGCAGACACATTCATGTACGCTGATGAAATGGTATTGCGAAGCGTGTTGTGAAAATGCACAAGTCGGGGCCTACGACATCCATCGAGAATTCATCAAGATCCGAGAGCAGCTCTATTTGGCAGCCTATGACCCAACAGTTGCAGCTGGGGTCAACGACGAGGTTCGCATGGATAAAGGCACTCGGCATTCTCGCCTCACTTTTACGCTTTCACATGGTATTCCG